GAGGTACCTGTGGTTCCTCCGCCGAGGGGAGGGGGATGCCGCCGAGCGCGGGGGTTACAGCGAGCCCGGGCTTCCCTCGCTCCCGCCCTCCCCGCTGCTGAGTGGGCTCCCGAGGTGATTCCCGAGCCCCGCGCGCGCCCGCCGAGACGGAGGCGTGGAATGCCGCGGCCGGGGAGCGGGCTCCGCCGGCCAGAAACGCCGCGATGACGAGGCCTGAGGGCCGGTGCTGTCGGACCGTCCCCGGTGGTGCCCCGGGCGCGGAGCCTGGAACCTTCGGGCGCCGGCCGTGGTGACTCCGAGGCAGGTTCGGCCCACGTGCCTGTTGAAGGGCCCGGGGTCGGGTTTTCGGCCAACTCCTCCAACGCCGAGAGCGCCCAGTACCTATTTTAGAGGATGTCCTTTTGTTTTCACTTATTCTTTTATAAGAACTGAAGGGTAACACTGGGATTGAAAATGAGTGGCAAACTGTAAACGCCATGCTTCTTCAAAACTCAACGTTCTCCAGAAATCTTACACAGGCTGCTGTGCAACCCTTAGTAAAAAGACAGTTTGCCTAATGAGGCTCAATTTAAACGACAAATAACTAATCCTAGAAAGTATAGAGGCAAACTCTCGACCACCATTGTGAACATTTTCTCTTTGTCATTCTTAAATAGCTCCACTGAGTAAAAGAGAAACTATTTCTATAACCATTTCGATAGTGTCAGTAGGTTTTGCCAGTTTCCTGCAGTAACCCATTTTCTCTAGTCCAACAGCAGGAGATGCAGAACTGCCACTTTTTCTCAACTAACATGAGTTGATATTCCACCTCCAGAACCTCCAACCCCCACCCCCCCACCCCCCCACACATACACAAAGAGCTGAAACCACAGTAAAAATATTTTTGATATTTTCAGGCTGGTGATACAAACCAAGTAAAATTTAAGATGGCCTGTCTGTAGGCTTGTTTATTTTTCTAATAATCCAAACTTTAAAGTATATGGGAAATTTTGGAAAGAAGTTTAGAAGATTGTCTAGACAAGTCTACACTCGGAGGTTACAGATATAGCACCTTCCTTTCATAACCCAAATCACGGTTGTGATTTACAATTTTTTCTTGCCTAACCAGGTGTGAAAGGCATTGTATTTTGGAGTGCTTGCATTCCAAATGAGTCTCAGAACATTACATCAGTATTTCTAAAAAAGATCATTTCCAGCATCAGTAATTTATGGAGTAGCTTTATGTTCAGAAACAGAATGGAATGGATGCATTGTGAATCATTAGAGGTTGCAGTCAGAGGGGAATGTTAAAAGTAATCTGATCAAAATAATACTTCTAATAATAACAATGAACATTTATTGAGCGCTGTGCTGAGTATTTTACATATATTTTATCCTCAAAATAGCTCTATCATTAGCCACATTTTACAGATGAGAAGGCTATCACACTCACTTTCCTATCACCAGAGCTTATTACACATCGTTCAATACATGTTGAATAAATTAATAAGGTTTAAAGAGGTTAAGTAATTTGTCTGAGGTCATGATGCATGATTATAATACCAAGTTAAGGTGATTCCAGAATATGAGCTTCTAAAACTAGAAAAAAAAAATTTGTATTGGTGTTAACAAAATGCACAGTACTTTGGAAGTGGAAGTTCTGTTCAATGTTAACCAAATATGTCTCAGCAAGTTAACTACAAAGGAGTCTGAATATGTCTCATCAAAAAGTTAACTGCAAAGGAGTCTGAAAATCACCATCAATGTTCCTGACCAGTACCAACTGTGAGAATGTAGGAAGTGAAGAAATTTGGCTGAAACATCAAACTATATCCTGACTGTGCTTGCATGACAAGCAACCAGACTATACATCATATTATAGGCAAGCTTAAAGTCAGATATTGTTTGCATAATGAATGGAATATCAATCAGAACAAATGCCAAAGATCCAGATGCAATAAAAATAAAAGATGCCTATTTCATGGAAAGACCAGTGCCAAAGAAGATGGAATAAAAGATCCTAGAAAAAGCAGATTTTGAGAATTACAGCACAGAATTAAGTCGTACATGTTTTCTTCCTATTTGTTACAGTAAGGAATTTATTTAGTCTAATCACCTGAGATAACCATTAAAAAAATAACTGTAAGAGCTAAGAATAACTGAGCCAATATGCAGGTGTGAGGGTATGCTATCTAACAGCGTTCACCAAGGCCTTAGATATTTGTCCCAATTCCTCCTCCCTGAGGTTTCCCCTACAAAACATACAAAAAATAAAAAATTTGACTTTGACAGTGTAATAGACATTAATTATTTCACTTAATTTGTTCAGAACATAACTGACTTTTCACTCAAATATTCTTGATCTGAAGAGAAGGAAAATAAGGTGCTTAAATCATCATTGCCTTCATTCTTGTATTCTTTACTCCAAATGACTCAGACAAATCTTTCCTGCATTTTTCTTTCCACAACTTTTCAAATAAACTAGCTTTTGTAGTCTTTTGCCTGTTATTCAAAATGTTACTGTCTTGCCCCGTTTTTGTATAATATAATGTGGTTACATACAAACTTCAAGCTCTTTGCCTTCTCTTAATGCACAATGCAATCGCAAAGATTAGGTGAAAAGGTATGTTGTCATAAAATACATATCAAAACACTGCACTAAATGATATGTCACATATACTTCAACAGTCTAGATACAGAAGCCAAACATTCTTTGGAAGAAGACTTGGATTCTTTTCGCAAGCAGGCAAAGGAGAAATATTACATTGATTAAATTAATTGGAGACATAAAACTTGTGATATGTGTGCAACCATATCAAAATAAATCAGTTTTAAATCATCTTTTAATCCAATTGTTATACTTTTGTCTTTTTTATTCTCCCTCTAGATTTCAAAAAAAATAATTAATATTTCTTGGCCAAAGTATTTTCAGTTAAGATTTTATAGTATATGTAATGAATCTAAGTACGTCACGTGTGAAGTTTACAAAGGTCCTCTGACTGGAATCTAGTTGCTCAATGGATCTGACTCTTAGAGATTAGGTCAGATAGGGAGACAGCCTTCCACTGGAAGAAGGAGCTTCAAACCTTTGTCTCTCTGGGGCCAAAGACAGGAGTAAATAATGTGAATGTTTCTTCTGGAGCTGCAAGTTGAAGATCTCTAACCTCTGTGTTTTCTAACCTAGGTTATTTTATAGGGGCCTTAATCATTACTTCCCATTTTTTCTTCTAAGAAGCTTGTTCAGCATCAGACCTCAGACTTGCCATGCAAAACATATTTTAACATTTTTTAGTTATTTAACATTTAGACAAAATGTTGTACAGAGCCCTTTCTGGCGATTTTCTCAGTTTGCTTAGATTTTTGCTGTAGCTGTCTATTTAATTCTTAAATTTCTTGCTTTTTTAGTGAATAATATTTTATCATTTTTTTCTCTTATCTTTCATTTTTGAATGATTAGCGAGAAGTGACAATATAGAACAGCTATGTGGATAGTCCATGTCCTAAAAGAGAGGAAAGGCTAGGAGCCGTCTTTTATTCTACTTAGTTTTCCCCAGACTTTCCTGTAATTTCAAAAGCTGGTGTTCTATGCTGGTACAAGTTGTATACCTTGATCAGAAAAATTAGCTAGGCAATTCTGTTAAGATTAGTAGTGATAAAACAAAATAAAAGTTATTCTCAAGAACAATATATAAAACTTGCTCCAGAGAAAGCGCAACAAAATTTCTGGAACAATATTTTTATTTTCTTGCAGTATAATTTTAACAGCTGTGTGTAAAGGACCGAAGCCTCTGATAGCAATCTGTCTGTGCCTCCAACAGAGAAGTAAGTAGGAAGAGACCTTTAACCGTAAATGGGCCTTCAAATGTGCTGCTCTCAGCCAAACCTCCCTTTAGATTATCAAGGAGAAGCAGCCTGAGACTGTAATTAAATTAGTAGAATCCTTCCTTTGCTGTTCTGCCTCTAGGGTAAGCTGTATTAAATCAAGCCATGTCCTTTCCAGACCAAGATTCACAAGTCATCTCTGGGTGA